TTATAGTTGGTCACCTCAATACCTCTATTCCTGGTATTACATAGTACAAAGACCCTTATATTTTTCACATCATCATATATACAGAATACCCGTTAGACGATAGTTGATCAGAATATTTTGTTATACACATATAGTCACTTCCCAACGATCTTATGGCGCCAACTTCTCATTACTCACACCCCACTTGCTGTGCGTAGTTCTGCTCGGCCTTGTTTCGTTGAGCTATTCCACCCTACCGAGCCATTTTTGTATACTTAATCTCTGCTTAGCAACCACCGTTGCTATGCAATGGGGTTGTCACCGTATCCTTTAACCGTTGTCCTTCCATAATCGATATTCTTCACATCCTTGACTCTCGATTTAAGACCCTCATACCCGTTCGCTCTTGCGCTGAAATCCATTTTTGCTCCAAAACACGTTTCCTTTTGTCCTGAAACCTATTATGTTTTGCCCGGATGCCAATTTTATTTGGCCTTGGTACCCATTTTTTCTTTTTTTGGGTGGACAGGAGAAGAGCAAGGTCATGGAGGCCCTCAAGCACGCGTCCACTATGCTCAGCGAACTCAAGACATCTAATCTGTCCCCAAAAAACTACTACGACCTGTGTAAGTATATGTATGAGTGTGTAAGTATAGGTATGAGTGTGTAAGTATATGTATGAGTGTGTAAGTATATGTATGAATGTGTATGTATATATATGAATGTGTAAGTATATGTATGAGTGTGTTTGTGTTGTACTGGTGATGCACGTGGACGAAGATAAGGCTTTGCACATCAATTGGTATCATATGATAACCATATTTTTAGGATTATACATGTGTGTGTCATATAATAACCATATGTATAGTTTTGTATAAATGTGTCATATACCAATCATATGTATACAATACATATAATAATCATATTTTTAGGATTATACATGTGTGTGTCATATAATAATCATATGTATAGTCTTGTATATATGTGTGTCATATAACAATCACATGTATACAATCCATATAATAATCATATGTATAGGATTGTATATGTGTGCATTATAAAATAATCATACGTATAGTATTATTAGGATTGTATATATGTGTCCTATAACAATCATAAGTATACAATCGATATAATAGTCATATGTATAGGATTATATATGTGTGTGTTATATAATAATCATATGTATAGGATTATATATGTGTGTCATATAGTAATCATATGTATAGGATTATATATGTGTGTGTCATATAGTAATCATATATATAGGATTGTATATGTGTGTGTTATATAGTAATCATATGTATAGGATTATATATGTGTGTTTCATATAGTAATAATATATATAGGATTTTATATTGTGTGTCATAATAATCATATGTATAGGATTATATATAAGTGTCATATCAATCATATGTACATGTAGGAGATTGCGTATGCTGTACGTATGACATTCATCAGTTACATGTATAGGATTGTATACGAGTATATCGACACAAATATAACTACACAAGTAGTACGTACACGTGCGAACGGAGCCATTTCAAACACCATCCAAGCAATCCAAGGATTCGACTATTCGTGTACACTACAGGCAGCTCTGACCGTTGTGAATACGTATGCCCATGAGACTCCGTAGCACCCAATAGCCGTACCATGCACCTGTCCTAAGGTGAAAGAGACAGGTGCCTTGGTAAAGGACAGGCGCTGCAATGTGTAACACACCCTTTAAATCAAACATACGTACCCCCTCAAGTACGAATGGGAAGGCTGTGATTGGCCATCTAAAAAAATATAGATCGCGTGCTTGTCAGTACTTCCGTTGATAGACTGCTTATCACATTTAAACCATCACACTGTAATAATACATATACGCAAACTATCCCACTCTAAGAGTACATATACGTAAACCATCACATTTAAGAATACATATACGCTATCTATCACACTCGAAGAATACATATACGCAAACTATAACACTAAGTACATATACGTAAACCATCACACTTATAAATACACCTACACCCCGGTCTTACGTAATCGCTTTTCATCGTACGCGTATGTCCCCAGACATGGCCGTCATTGATGAGTTGCGACATCTGGAACTGCACCTGGAGGATGAGTTTACGGACGCCCAGAAAGTAGCTGAGCTGTACGAGTTAGTACAATACGCCGCCAACATTGTCCCTCGCCTGTACTTGCTGATTATGGTGGGATCGGTCTATGTGAAGGTGCGCATGTGTGTTGGTGTGTTTTAGTAGGGAAATGTATCTCGATAGATTGTGTATGTGTGTATCGTAGTGAGTTATGAAGACACCGCAGCGAGTTATGGTATATATATATATATATATGTGTGTGTGTGTGTGAATGTATCTATTTTAAAGTGAAGAACACATTGATGTGTGTCTGTACACTCATCAACGAACACCACCACATCGCCAATACGTCAACCGTGCACGTCTACAACGCACGAGATTCAATGTACAAACCATATCATATCATCTACTTACCATGCACCAGCACTAACATACATCACTACCTCATTATAACACACTCTCTCTCTACCTCATTATAACACTTTCTGCTCCGTCTCGTGCATGTGACTGCAGGTGGCACCTAACATGCGCAAAGAGATTGTGCTTGATTTGGTTGAGATGTGCCGAGGGGTGCAGCATCCGCTGCGTGGCCTCTTCCTGCGCAACTACCTACTGCAGCAGGTAAGCTTAAGCACACACATGTATAGTTGGCGTCATGAACGTATATATATATATATATATATATATAAATATATATGTGTGTGTGTGTGCGCGCGTTTGTGTGTGTGTGTGTGTGTTAATATATGCAGTTGTATTGGCTCTATACCTCTGGATATGCTCTGTATATGCTATGTTCACAGCTGTGTGTCCTGATAGCTACGTCCCCGTACTAGCACGTGTATATTCGTCATAGGCCTCAATTATGGGTACTATCACACAATACGACCCACATATACACGCCAGGACAGTCCCATTCCTGCGTACACACGCGTATAGATATACACTACTAACCTTATGGAAAGTGTCCCTGCAACTAAACGTCTTGGTAGATACCCTCTCTACCCTTGGCCAGTGTATGACAATTCGTGATATGTGTATGTAGTATATCGGAATGATTACCTGATTTTTAAGTATCCAAGAGGTTCACGTGGGAGCACGCGTTTTTAGTATATATATATATATATATGTATATATGTATGTATATATATGTATATATATATAATTATAATTATTTTTATATAT